GCACACAGCCAGGATAACCAAGGAGTGGCTCCGTAAGAAGCATATCAAGGTTCTGGAGTGGCCTAGCCAGTCTCCAGACCTCAATCCAATACAACATCTTTGGAGGGAGCTTCAACTCCGCGTTGCTCAGCGACAGCCCCGAAACCTGACAGATCTAGAGGAGATCTGTGTGGAGGAGTGGGCCAAAATCCCTGTTGCAGTGTGTGCAAACCTGGTCAAGAACTACAGGAAACGTTTGACCTCTGTAATTGCAAACAAAGGTTTCTGTACCAAATATTAACACTGATTTTCTCAGGTGTTCAAATACTTATGTTCAGCAGTGCAAGACAAATAAATTCTTTAATACAATGTGATTTCCTGAATTTTTTTTTTTAATTCTGTCTCTCAGAGTGGGAATGCACCTACAATGTGAATTTCAGACCCCCACCATGATTTCTAAGTGGGAGAACTTGCAAAATCGCAGGGTGTTCAAATACTTCTGTTCCTCACTGTACATTAAAGTACATATGTTTAGAATCTAAAATTAAGGAGTGTTAGTGTTTCCTCAGCTTCAGTCACTATCATTTGTCCAAATCCCACATTTTCAACAGCACAGGTACATGTCCTTGCAATGAAATAGCCTATAGCTTCAGTTATTGACTTCAACCCAACCAGGTGTAGTTATCAGCTAATGTGCTCTGGAAGTAGCTGCTACCAGCACCAGCACTGTTACTTGCCTCAAGCTGACTGCTCTTGCATTGATTCAACAATGTGTTGCCTTCATAACATCGCTACTAGCAAGGTCCGTGTTACTCCTCCTGATATACTTGACACAAGCGCTGCATGTTCTGCACTCAGAACATAAAGTTAGCTGCTAACACCGGTGCTGTCGCTTTCCTCAAGCTGACTGCTTTCATAACTAACTGTACTCTTTCCACCGGTTCAACAATGTGTCACCTTCTTAACGTTTCTACTTGTAAGGTCGGTGGTACTCCCAGTATAGGCAACATGACATAAGCGCTGCATGTTCTGCATTTTGAGGTAGCTGCTAAAACTAGCACTGTTTGTTCCTGCAGCTGTCTGTACTATGCACAACGTTTTTCCTGGACCTGCCAGTGGCATGCCAGCGGGAGATGGTGCACACACACACACACACACACACACACACAGCTGTGTTTTCATTCCTTGTAGGGACTTTACATTGACTTACATTCATTTCCTGTAGACTTATCCTAACCTTAACCACAACCACTACTTCCCCACCCCTAACCCTGACCCTGACACTTAACCTAACCTCATCCTAACCTTAAACCATGTTGCCACCCTAAAATTCAGTGATTTCCTTGTGGGGACCAGCGCTTATCATTACACCATTACTAAAGTGGGATTTTTAACTGGTGAGGAGACTCCGTTTGAGACCTTTCCTGACAGCTGGAGGTCAGGGTGTGTTCAGAAGTGTGTAATAAAAGAAAAGGGGCATGTTGACTCCCAATTCTTTCATATTAACTTGCTGCTACAACCCTTTCAGGTGTTGTTGGCTCAGTTGTGACATCACGTTTAAGGCGGGCATGGACCCAGACTTATAGTTTGTGATATTACTCTTCAAAAGTGCAAGATCTGTACTGTATTTGGTTTGCTGTCATTATTGGTGATATATGGTTTTAATAAGATTGTGTCAGATAATTCTGTAGCTCACAGTTTGTGTCTCATTCCAACACTGGAGTTCTCATACTGTTATAGGCCAAGTTATTTCTTAACCATAACCATTTGATTTGCAATATTCCACTGTCTTTCTTACTTTAACCACACTGTAGTTTCCATGTGCAGATAGTGTTCATTTTAAAAATTGTGGCACTGAATGTATTAAAGACCTTTACAGAATGACCCAATCAACTGGTTTTGATAATTACAGTTTTAATTAGTGAGCTTTAGAGATGTTAAAAGGTCAATTTCTAAACTTCAGGCACAGACGGTTTCCCCTGCTTCCAGTATTACATTTATAGGGCTAATCAGACTTTGCACAAACCCTTGTGCATCTGCAAACATAGATGAGGGATGTTTTCCATGCATTGCATAGGTGATGTTGGACAACAATATTTAAAACATTTATATGTTTATCAGATGCTAAACAACAACTTCAGGCATGATGTTCATTTTTACAGCTGCTTGCTACTGTGTATGTTTAAATAAATGTCTGATGATTATGGGAAAATGAACCTGTGTCTTTGTTGACTCAAGGTGACTCAGGCAATCTCTTCTGCCTTATCAGAGCTATGCCAGGCCTGGCAGGGAAGCAGCTGAGATATGACTGAAGTTAAAATTGGATAAAGCACTGCTCAAATCAATTCCACTCACTCAACACCTCACTGTGATTTGTCCTGGTTTGAAATACTGCTTTGAAAGCTGCCGTGATGGTTTATTCACTGCTTGTCATTTTTGTTATGATATGCTGCTCTTTCACTGTGCTGCCTTGTTATCAGAGTCAGATATGTTTCTGCATCATTTAGTTTTTTTTTCTTTAAAACAACTTGTCACTGTATCAGCGTGTGCATGTGTGTTTTGCTTTATATACCAGAAAAATCCTCCTCTAGGCTGATTTTATGTGCATGCATACATACCCTTTTTTTCTTGTTAAAACTCACTATGTTGTGGATAGACCTGCAGCATTTTGCATCCCTCTGGGCTAGCTCTAGTAGCACTGCAGTCCCAGCTGTGGTGTTGCACAGCTGGCTTGACCGGACCCAGGAAAAGCCCCGTACCCCTCACTCTCTGACTCCCTGTGGTTGATGCACATCTGGCATCCCCAGATGCGGGTGTGAAAACAATGTACATGCTCAGCCTCCATCTGCTGGCAACACATGCTGTGACCCCCCCAGAGAACCTCCTGAGTTTATTAAGGATTCTCACTCAGCTGTTACAATTCAGGGCAAAAAATTCATTGTACTTGTAAATATTCATGTCTAGGCTGACATGAATATTTATGGTATATATTTTTACTGTGCCACTGGCTGGTCATAATCCTGTGGTCGAAATTGCGATGTAAAAAAAACTAATCCAGTTGTCATTTGTGCCTGCAGGTTATTATGACCAACAGTAAAGTACAGTATCATAGTGAGCGGACCTGCGACACTAGCAAAGGAGGAAGTTCAGTGACATAGTGGTACAGCAGAGTCACCAAGTCCACATTAGGTGGAAGTTAGGGGTGGATGTATGGGTTTAAAAACATAGGACCTACTTGGCAGAGGCACGCTGTGATGCATTTACAGAAATTTTCAGTGGTACAAACCCTTGAAAGACTCTGTTCACAAGTCATTTTTCACAAATCTGAGTCAAGTCTGGATTCAATTAGTTGCAAGTTGGAAGTCTATTTATGTGTGACTCTAGTGCGACGTGAGTACACGTCATCAACTCGGGTGCTGAGACAAAAGATGAGAAGAAAAAGGACAGTGCAAAAGATGAATCAAACTGAGAGAATGTACAGTCTACTATCATCAAAACAATTACTGACTTTTTCACTGTTAAAATGAGACCAAGTAAAAATCTGCTCATTTGCAATAAAAATTTAAATTACAACTAAATAATACAATTGCACATAAAAGTTGTATATATATCTTTTGATGATATATATTAAGATATGTGGATTAATAATAATTCAAACTGCTGTAAATATAAACAGAACAGCTGTGCTCCAACTGTCCTGCTGCACTGCAGCTTGGATGTCATTTATTTATTTCTTTACTTATTATATATTTATGTCAATGAAGTGTAAAGCATTGGTCTTATACTGATCAACACATTTTTATTTTGACAAACAAAACCTTAACACAAGGTCCTCTTAATAATTTTTCCCAGGGCTTTCAGTCACATGATATCACATGGTTGAAAGCTAGTTAGTGGACCTTGAGTTAGGATTAGTAAGGAGTTTCTTTTTCCCAAGTTACTATTTCCAAAATCCTTTTTATTTAGAAACTTTATTAATGCACAATTTCATGAATTAATGTAAAGTTATTCTCCATATTTGTCAATCTGTTAATTAATTGCAGTAAAACATAAAAAATGGTGGCATATTCCAGATTCTACACTCAGGAAGATAAAAAAAGGGGGGAAAATATGTGGAAAGAGCTGAAAGTAAAAGAAGATGCTGAAAACAGGCAAGAGAGAAGATGGTGAAGGAAGAAAGACAAAGAGGAAAATGGTTACAGGAAGTGGCAGAGGGGCAGAGAGAGAGGGAGGGAGAGAGTGGCACTGCTGTGTTCCTGTAATCCATCTCACACTTTCCAGTCTGCTGTGGACTGGTCTGGATACAGTTTTTGGAGAAAGAATTTCAGAGTTTCTTCTGCTCTGTAGGCTACTTTCTTTTTGGAAGCACCGGATGCCTGTCATCTTGGATAACTGGACATTATGCTGAAGTTTATCATCAGCCCCTGCTCCAGGTGTGACGGAGTGTGTTTGTAGTGTGATTGTGAAGTGTGCTGCAGTGCTGTGATGCTGTTTGTTTTCCCTGTTTACTGTATCTCTGCTGTGAGCTGATTTATCATGTTGTTTTTAAAGGTATATGATGCAGATGTGGTCCTTTCAGCTGTATTTCATTCTGGTATAAAATGTGTCTCCTTGTCTTCAGCTCTGTGTCCAATTCACATTTCAACTGTTATTGCTCTGTTTCATTAGTTTAATACTTGCCTTTTCTTTTTTGTCCTTTTGTCTTTCCCTGCAGTCACAATGAGCGAAAGGTGACCTGTAAACACCCCATTTCAGGTGTCCCCTCCCAAGACAACTGCATCTTTGTTGTAAATGAACAGTAAGTCTCTGTGCACTTTGAAACACCCATACAGCATATACTACATATGGCATGCTTCTCATATCTGCTCTGATTTACAAGGTCAAAGGAAACTATGGATTCATTCTTCAAATGTCAGTTGTAGCTGTGCAGTGCACCTGTGACAACATGTAAATGTACTGTACTAGTGTTGATCTGAAGGGACAGAACAGGTCTTTGGATACACAGTACCAGACCCCCAGAAATTATATGCAGACCAGTCAGTAAGGGTGATTTATCTGGGACATCAGACCAGATGATTGCAAAATCATATTTATGAGAGTTTCCTTGATGATGGACTTTTGTATGTTTACCATCTTGTTTATGACAGTTTCTGTGATGCTGAAAGTCCGTACCACTTGACAGAGCAGCATACTGTATGTTGTCATTAATGTTGGCAGAGTTCTTGCAGTTCCACCTGCCATCATAAGAGCACAATTTCAGGAGATGCTCCTATGAGACGAAAAAGACAAACATATTGGAGGATTTGTTAGGAAATTAAGATGTACCTGCGGTCTTGGCTGATGGTGCAGTTAATTTGTGAATCTGATTATTTAATAGCATAATAAAGCATGAGAATGATGATGCTAGCTCATACAATATGCACTCAAAATGGGATAACGGTACCACCCAGGCAGCAACCCCAGAAGATATACAAATACAAATAAATCTAGATTATACAGCAGTTTAAATCATCTTTTCAGATTCTGAGTCACAAAAAATTTAAAAGGACAAGTAAATGGAAAGATACTGTAGATACTGTATGTTATTAACATGACATAAATCAAACTGACTTCTTTAGGTGAGATTTATATAATCTAGATTCAGCAGACATAAGGCAGTGCCAATGTCCATCTACAGTATTTTGCAGCCCCTCCAGGATTTCACAGGCTTTTTTTAGGTTACTGTGGCCTAAAATGCCTGATTTCACAGAAGCTTTTCTAAGAAATACCTGTATATATATATGTATATTTATATATACATGTTTTAAATGCTAATATATAGGTAACTGCATGTACTGAAGTTCAGTGTACATGTGGTCCTGCTTCTTTTTCTATTAATGTTGTGTTAACAGTGGTGCTGTGTTGATGCAGAATGACTACATCATTTGTAGGCCATGTTAAGCTCTGGCTTTATCAGGATATGCAAGAAGCACAGACAATGCTACGTGTCCATGCAGCTGCAAGGCTTTAAACAGAGCTTCAGTGTGCAGCCGACAAAAGCTGCACCTCTCAGCATCATGGACACCCACACTGAGAGCAGAACTACAGTGTGCTTTTCACAGTCCACACTTTGTACACCACTCCCAGTCCTCTGTTGGGGTTTTAAAATATAAAATGATCATGGTAAAATTTGTTTTCTGTCCTGCTTCGGTGCCCATCCTCTCTGTTGGGGTGTTGTTGTCTGCGCTTCCTGGAGGCACTGGTTTGATGGAAAACAGAGGGCTGTGGTTGTGTTATACCCATAATAAACTTAGGATTTCTGATCCACACTACAGCTTTTCACAGGCCAACAGAACTGGTATTTTGTTTTGTATTGTTTTTAGCTTGTCATCCCCTCTCTCCCCTGTCTGCCCTTAATGCATTTTTGCAGGATTAGAGGCAATACAGGTCTTGTTGAATGTGAGCAAACAGAGATATTTTTATGAAAAATATTAGCTATGTGCAGGTTAAAACATTGTTTGCAGTGGTGCAACATACTGTATCCTCAAAGCAAGATTTGTCATTTGGAACTGCCTTTCTTGTCTGATAGGTCTTTAGTGATAGAACAACATCGTGCATCAGTGCCTTGTTAAACTGTTACAAAGTACTATTCCAAAAAATTCATATGACTGTTTTCTAATTAATTAATTTAGTTTTATAACAGTGTTTAATGGTATATTCATGTTACCATGTCTAAAATGAAAAAAATAACTTAGAGGCATATTGTTGGTCAGGGTCCATCAATACAGAATTGTAACTAGGTTATATGATCAGAATATGATCTATCTTGTTTTGTGGACTTATCAAATGTTGTAATGAATGTAATGGCACACGTATATACACTACAGACACCTGCTGTGGTCTTAGGAAGTTGCTGTACTGATACTGTTTTATTTTGCACAGCCCTACTGAGAGAATAACCCCCTTCTGGTCTGGCCTCTTTTTCTTTTGTTCAGAAATACTTTTTTCAAAATGATGAAGGTTCAGGACAGACTGGCTACAATTAGACTGATTCTTTGCATTTCTTTGTCTAGCCCTCCTTCTTTGTCCTGTCCTCTGTCCTCATGTTTTTCTGTCATCTTCTGTAAGTTTTTGAAATCCTTTTGTCCTCCTCTGTTTTTGCTTCTTCTTTTTGTATCCCAGCCTCTGTGTATGGTTTGATTATGACAGCTTTGCTACAAGACTTACAAATCAAAACAGAAAATCTCTGAATGTTTTACTTCCTTTACCATCTGCTATTGGAATGACTGAATGCTGGAAGCTCCCTACCCATCATTTCTGAAATGGGATCCATTCTGTGGATGACACATACAACTCTTACAATGAAAGTACTTTCTACTCCCCACGAGACAAACAAAAAGTCAGGATGATATGGCTGAAATGAAATTTAGAGCTGCAGAATCTGAGAAAAACAAACAAACTACAGCAATTACACGCTCCACCTCCAACAGAGTCATCAGGAGGGTATTTCAATCCATTCCCGTCTACCCCTCACCACACACACACATCCATACAAACACACAGTTTTACTGCTAACAAGTTCAGTGGAGCTCTCTATGGCAGCAATGCTCTTTCACTTTCTATTTCACACAAACTCTATTCATCTCCCACCCTAATTATCTCCTCTGTCACACTGCTCCTGTTAGGGAGTGCTGATTTTTATTTGTCTGTGTGTTTGGCTTCTTGATTTTTTTATACTTGCCGGAATTGAAAACTGGGAGCTCACTGGTTTTGGAGAAGCCAACATCACCAGTGTTGCCCATGATTAGTTTGTTGAATTTTCTCAAACTGATGCAGTGTAAAGTTAGAGCAAGTGGCTCTGGTTAATGTTGGGGTAAGGGTTAGGGTTAGGGAAGTACAGGTTATGTATAGTATAGGGCAGGGGTGCCCAATATGTCGATCACGATTGACCGGTCGATCACAAAGGTAGTGTTGGTAGATCGCGTGCCATTCAAAAATAAATTAGATGTATCCGGCGTAAAACACGTGCCAAATGTTAACATGCGAATGGTCAGTGTGACAATTCGTTGTGGCGACCCTAACAGAAAAAGCAGAAAGTGACAATCATTCATTTATAGCCTATCATCCATCCTCCCTATGGCATTTGCTACTTGATTGACATGCAGGGCAGCCAGTCTGAGATTTTGTCCTTTCTGACACACGAGTCACCAAACATGCACAGCCAACCGCACGAGCTACTGCAAAACTCCAGTGAGCAAACTACCTTAATTAAAGGGTATGAAATGAGTGGGGAAGCCGAATCAAGTAAGAAACCGGAAACGTACCAAAAACATTCCATCATTTTTTTTCGCGATGATATATCACAAATGCTTTTTCTTGATCTACCAACCTATCATCACTATTCCGAAGAAGGGAAATGTGGAGTGGCACTTTCAGACTGTTCATAAAAACTACGACACTCATTCATACATATATTTTGTGTGTGCGTGTGTGTGCGTGTGTGTGTGCGCGCACGTCCGTCTAAGTCGATCATTTTGACTTGGTAATTTGAAAAGTAGATCGCAAGGCAAAAAAGTGTGGGCACCCCTGGTCTACGGGATATGTCCTGAAAATGAATGTAATTCTTTACAGGGACCCAGTTAGTGACAAAAATAAGTGTGTATGTGTGTGTGTCTGGCCTTGTTTATATATATTGGAACACTGAGAGCACATGGCTTTGCAGGGACCAGAAGTCACTTGAGGGGCTCAGAGGCTGGGCCTCACTACTAGTTCTTCAAATTTTATGAAAATTATGAGGTGTAAGGTTAGAAAAAGTGTCAGATTTGGTTAAAGTGGCCATGACATGCTCATTTCCAGCCATTTAATGTTCAATCTTCAGTACCTCTAAATTATGTCAGGCAAGCTCAATGAATGCACAACTGCCTGGAGATTATGACCATTCAAGGAGATCCTTAAACTATCACATAATACTTTATTTTGTTAGAAAAAAATGTCTCGCAAGCAAGAGTTTGCAAGCATTGCATAAAGTGAGTTGCTTATACATGGAAATACTAGAACATACATACACCTCATTCTTTGATCTTTAGGTCTAAGGTGATAATTCACCATTGTAACATTGTAGATAAGTCAAAAAAACAATGAAAAGCATGACATGGGCTCTTTAAGGTTAGGGTAATGGTTAAGGTTAGGCAAGTAGTAGTTCTGGTTAAGGTTAGGCTAAGTCTCGTGGAAATGAAAGTAAGTTTATGTGCAGACCCTGTAAGTGACGACTGTAAGGATATGTGTGTACGTGCATATATGCATGCCCTTGTGTGTCTGAAACCTGTTCACTTGATTGTGTAGGACCAAAACACTGTGGGACCATGCTGGTCCCCACCAGGTAAATAATTGAATTTTAGGGTGACAACTTGGTTTAAGGTTAGGGAGAGAATAGGTGTAGGGTAAGAAAAGGCTAAGTAAAGTATTGGTTATGGTTAAGGTTAGGTTAAGTCTCCAGGAAATGAATGTAAGTCAATATAAAACCCCCTAGGGATTAAAAGCAATGGCTGTCTGTGGATGTGTGCATGTGTAAATTAGATAAATGAGGTGTGCATGGTTTGTATTTTTAAACTTGTTGAGCAGAGTGAAGATGAGAAAGTCACAGGGAATGATAGGTGTCTAACTGCAGCGATGCCACTAATGCAATTTTCACCTTGTTTTACTCTGGCTGGTATGAAGATGATGAGTGAGAGCAAAATATCTTTGCTTTAAAGTTCAGTCCAGGTCTAGCTTTGCAGGCATGATTAATGATGCCAGTACAAAAAAAAGCTTGGCATTTGT